TGTCTTTAAGTAAATCATCCTTTCTTTTGTGTGCATTAAAAGAAATCTCTAAATATAAGTCAACTTACCAAGTACCTAAAGGTGTATTTAGCGGTCAATGAAGAGGGATTAATACTGTCGAAGATTAGGTTCAAATTTAGCGAGTCAAAAATTAGGTGGTTTGTTTCATCTGCCTGTGCCTTGGCAGGCAAAGTTTTCTAAGTTGCAGGTATCTGATGGAATAGTCGAGGTGTGGACATGTTGTCCGGATATCGCCGTGATAAAAAATAAAGTCAACTTACTAATTAATAGTTTTCCTGCCATTGTTTTGACTCTATTAAATATTGGAGTTATTATTCAAGATCTACTCTAGAAGAGTGTGTATACCTAAATATAAATGATTGAGTTATCTGCGATTAAAACGTAATGTGCAGCTTACTTTTAGGTTGTCTACCTAATTGCATCATTGTGTTCATTCCATGAAAAATAGATTTTCTATGTGAAGCTTATTTGATGTCCTTCGATATTTTAGTGTAGATTACATAATTGAGCTTATTTTTCTTATACTTGAGGTGTGTTATTCTCTAGAGGGGGAAGGCAACCACTAATGCTACCACATTAGCTTAGATGACAAATCCCATTGTAGCTTCCATTATGGGAACCACAAAATCTACATGTCTGCTGATGTTGTTATGGCAACCTCCATCAGTGAGGTTATGTTGTGTGGTCTCTTGTCAGCGGGGATTACCTGGATAGCTTTTCCATATATTTGGGATGTCTGTTTTACACTTGTATGTGGCATCATCAAACTTGTCTTTTCCATTCTTTTATATAGACTTATTGGCTTTATTTGCAGTGTCTGAAGCAATCTTTGTTATAACATCTGCTATCAAGGATGTATGTGGAAAACCTCCAACAGAGAGACTTTTCTTGGATAAGTATGGAAAGATTTGCTTGTGCCTGGATGAAATTGTGTGGACGGTAAGATAAAATGTCTCTGTGTTGTAACATAAATAATTTCACAAGCTTGAAACTCTCATCTTCTCAAGTATTACAGTATGTTTCTAGTTGGAGAAGCATACAGTGGTTATGAAATTCTTAAAGCTATAATTAACTTGCTGCTGTCTGGCTAATGATATTATTCCGCTTTTGTATTTTGAAGGGGTTGCTTGAAAACATTGACAAAGATAGAATCAAGAGACTTGTTAGGTTGAAGCCACCAACAGAGTTCTGATGAAGATTTTTCCCAGTCTCTTGTTTATGCAAAGCTTCTGGGACTCAAGCTGTACTCTGTACGTCAAGTGTAGTTTTAATGCATGTTTTGTATCTTTTTTTGGATTATGGACTATCTGTTAGTAATTTTATTAGCAGGTTTTAGCTCTTTAATTTGATTTATTTACTTGGCCAGATAAGAAAAATCACTCCCCATACTGCTTTCTAATTATGGAGGACCATAACCTTTGAAAAGTGGAGAAAGGGATGAATGGATTCCTTTTCCTTCTCCACATTATTCGACTTGTTTGAGTTGGTTATTTGAGGATTGTATCTTTATATTACCCTTTCAATTGAACGGAATATGGTTTCCGACCTCTGAATTTGTGTGTGTTCATTAATGGTCTTTAACTATGTAACTTCTCTTTCTTAAACTTAGTAGTTTTGCCTTGGCTTGTGTGTCAATGTCCAGTAATGAACCACTGTGGGTGCGTGCTACTTCCCTCTCTCACCAGCCTCCCCTAATAAAATCATATTCAACACCAAAATGCTATGGATTTTACCCTAACTTCTTACATCTACACAAAAAAAAATTAAAAGTTATGCTAGCCACAATAATACATTATCTTGTTCTGAAATTTTAATATATCATCAATTTTGAGTCTAACCAGAAATTTCTGAAAGAACATGCTTGAAGTCTAAACCAGGAAGTAGAGTTCAGATAAGGACTATTTGTGTATTTATTTTCAACAGTTAAGATTGACATAAGGAACCGCAGCTCCAGCTACCAAACAAACCATCCCTATCAGATACTTAAAACACATCCGAATTTTTTTTATTGGATTTGACGAGAATGTCCATATACTTGCTCACTAAGATACATAGCGCCACGAATAAGCCAATACTGTGTCCAGACTCTAAAAGATAGTCTACTACTCTTCCTTGCCCTGCGGTAAAAATTTATTCGTGAAATTTCACAAGTAAAGTTTGGAAAAGATAAGTGTATACAGAATTTTTTCCTTTATATATTTTGCATATTTATACCTCATTCGTAAGGTATATTGTCAGTTTTATTTCCAGATGCTTAAATTTAAATATTTTTTGCATGCCAAACACGTTTGTACTATTTGTAGCACCAGCCATCCGTTTTACCTGCCACCTGATACCTTCTGTCTACGCTCATTAGACGCGGAATGACAAATATACCCTCTCTCCAAGCATTAGTCGTGTACCGTTCCAAGTTTCGCCACAAATTAGTAAACGCCGATTGCCATATCATATTCCAAAAACTGGTTAACAAGTCTTCCTAACAGAGGGTTCTCGATGTCACCAGCCATGACCAGCCGGCCGGCGATGCTCTTTCTTCTCGTTATCACCGTCGCTTCCATAACTTCCGGTGTCCAAGCATCAAGATCCATCGTGTTCTTGCCCCAGCCTTTATCATCCCTCGACATAATCAACACCACTCTGCACCAGGTACGATTCAGTCATTTCTTCTTCTTTTTTTTTTGTTCCGCAATATCAAGTTCAGAAAATTTGATATATTCAATTAATTAACCAAACAATTTGTTTTGAGCACCGATTAATCTGAATATTCTAGGGACAAAATGCACGCTGTTCATTTACGGTAAGCATAAGGACAAGCTGCTCATCTCCAACTTACACCAGAGACCAAATTAGTCTAGCCTTTGGCGATGCTTATGGAAATCAGGTAACAAATACCGATTCTCATACAGCTTTAAGCTCCAATTTGTTTTAATTTTACTGTTCAATTGTCCAATACGGATCGGAATACCATTTTTTCCCCCAGGTTTATGCACCGCGGATAGATGACCCAGCAAGCAGGGCTTTTGAGCGGTGTTCGAAGGATACGTATACGGTATACGGTCCATGTACGTATCAGATCTGTTATGTGTACCTGTACAGGAGCGGATACGATGGATGGATACCGTATGATGTTACCATCTACGGCTACAACTCGAAAGCCGTCACCTTCATCTACAATGTTGCCATCCCCGGAAACACTTGGTACGGCCACAATTACTGCCGTTCACGTGCTGTGAAATCTGCCGGAAACTTGGGCTGGAGTTTGCTTTCTGTTGGTTCCACTATGTTGTATACAGTTGCTGGGCTATTTCGTGGTTAGAGTTTATGGGCCTTTTGGTTGTTTCTTTCTAAATTGGGCCTTGAATGGAAAGCCTGCCTAGTCCAATGGGATTTGTGGGATGGCTTGAACAATTTCTTTTTGGGTTATTCATGTCTTGTTGTAATAAATAAAGTGAATGTTAATGCCACTTAAGTATGGTAAAGTTAGTTACTTTGGTCTATTTTACATTGTTAAAATGCAAGACAAATTTTCGATATTCGTAGGTTTAGCAAGATGTGCTATCCTTAGGGATGTATTGGAAGAAGTTAGATATCTCAATGACGATCATTGATGAAGATATTATGATTAAATAAAAGTGTGTTTTCAATTTAGTTTAAATTTACAAATGAAATTTCCACACATGGTGTAAATTAGTATCAGATAGCATTATCAAAACGTGATCGTATCAAATTGACTGTGACATGACATAAGACTTTTCTTTGTTATTCAAAGATAGATTTAACGATGCGATGTAATATAACTCAAAGTAACAATTAACGACACAATACAATAAGCAACAAGTCAATAACCATCCAAACAAGCTAAAAGACTCAATCACGAGATACAACGAATCTCAGATTTTTTCCATTAAAAAATTGGTTATCAATACCGTTAGACTGAAGTAGCAAGCAGATCTACTTTAGGAAATAATTCTTGTTAGTTCTTTAATTCCTGCTAAAATAATCTTTGTAGTCCAACTCCAATGTAAAGTCAAATTTCTAGTACTTTTAAATAAGGCTGCTAATTTATAACTACTGTATTATTATTAGTATACCAAATTATAATAACTGAATAAAATCAAATAATTCTACCTGCCTTAGCCTTATGCCAAACTTTTCCTATATATGTATCCAACGTTGTTGAATTTATTTTTTGTAAGCAGGAAAACTTGGTGAAATTTGAACCAAATGGAATTACAACATGTAGGTTGAAATATCAATCTAGTAGCTAGATAATATAGGTTAATCATTATTGTTGGTATTTATAATTCTATTTATTTTTGGTTGCTTGCCTTTCGACTGAAGTGATAAAGGAGGCTCGATCAATCGTACCACTATTTAAATTAATATTAATAAGTTTCCTCGAATTTATATAGTACGTACGATAAGCATTTTCTTTTCTTTTGTAGACTTTGAACGCAACTAAAAAGTCCAAATAATACTACTTGCGTAATTCGTATTGCAAGAAGTTAGATATTCTTTCTATTATTTGCTTCGATAGGCGAGAAAAAGTGAGAGATCCAAGAGGGTTAAGCAACTTGATCTTTAAAAAAAAAAAACGTTAGTCAAATATATGTATTTAGTTTATATGAAAAAATGATACTGGCAAATGGTGGACGAATTTTATATTTCATAATTTCCGCCTTTTTATGTGACACTAATATTATTAGCTATTTGGAGAGTCTAATGATTTTTTCATTAATCGTTTTCAATTTCTTTAAATATGTAAATTTACGTTGAAAATTAGTTGGTTTAATTTTCGTACTCTTAATTGTGTTGCGTAAAATGGAATGGATGGCGTAGTTGTTTTGATACGAAAATGTATGCTAGTTATTGTGATTTGTTACTTACATCTTAAGTAGTGGAGGGAATCATGGCTTTTAATTAGTCTATGCTTTATTTATATAATAAGTAGAAGATTTAGACATTCTTACTATGCATGATTCTTGTACTACCTAGATCATGATGATTAGTAATTCGCAGTTTTACTTGGTAACTTTCTTGGTTTTGTTGTGCATGGTTTCTTCTGTATGGAGTGCTGATATTAAATCTTTCAATGTCATCGATTTTGGGGCTGTCGGAGATGGAAGAACTGATGATCTCCCGGTACATAAAAATTTATTTTTATTTTATTTATCTTTCGAGTAGCAAGCTACTCTGGACCTTCCTCTTAAAAAAAATGAGTTAATATCGTGTGAGTCAATGGCCCACATAAACTCATACTATACTTGATCTTAGCCAAAAGGCAAAGATAAAGGTATACACAAACATTAATTTCTTAAAAATTATCTCGTATTTTTTTAATCATATAGGTGAGAATTTGTAAACATTTGATCATGTATCATAATATGCAGGCTTTCCTCAAGGCATGGGAAGCTGTGTGTCAATCGGAATCCAGTCGTGTAATTCTTGTTATACCAAAAAGAAAGAAATTCTTACTTAAGCCTTCAGAATTTGATGGTCCTTGCAAGCCCTCCAGTATACATATTCAGGTCATGATGCCCTTCACCTACAATTTCCATTGGAATTTTGCTCGTTAGAAAAGTAATCGTTTTAGATTTCTGATAAAAATGTCTGTCAGAAATTCTCCAGTGTTTTAGTAGTAATATAACTAGGATTCTTGTTGTTTGTCTGTCTTATATTCGAGTTTATAACTAGTTCCTCATTTCCACTTAATATAAACAGTTATATGTAATCATTCTGATAGTGTAGATTTTCTTTTATCCTGTTGCAGGTATCTGGAAATATAATTGCACCTAACTCAAAATCGGCATGGGATGGAGCTGCAACCAATGCATGGCTCACTTTTGCAAATATTAACCATCTTACTGTAAATGGCAATGGAGTTTTTGATGGCCAAGGCCATATATGGTGGTCAAATGCTTGCACGAATGATAACACATCCCAAGTAAGCTTAAAATCTTAGTATTTTCAAAGTTTTTCATGAAGAAAATCGTAACGCTAGAAGCCTTTAAATTTCTAGCTTATTTCTTACCTATGGAATTATTATTTTTTTACCAGGAAACACAATGCAAAGGACCAACTGTAAGTATAAAGTATACACAATCGTTTTCAAATTTCCTGTGTATAACGTATATATACTAAAGTAATGTGATGATCATCCAATATTTTTTATATATATAGGCATTGATTTTCAGAAGATGTGATCAGCTTCGAGTTAGGGGAGTAACGATTATTAGAAGCGCTAGAAGTCATATCATATTGACTGCTTGCAATGAAGTTAGCATTGCTAATATTCGTATTATGTCCCCTGGTGATAGTCTCAACACCGATGGGATTGACGTTTCCGGTAGCACTAATGTACGAATACACAACTCTCTCATCGCAACAGGTACATTTTCACTATCGATGAATTTAACTTATACACATTGATAATTTTCACAGTAGTTGCTCATGAGTCATGATAAGTTAAACTATTAACCTGAAAAATAAAACAAGTGACTAGGCTATAAAAGTTTGAATTAAAAGCTTTTACACTAAATAGAGTCAGTCCGATGCACGAATATCCCACTTTCATGCAGGATGCGGAGAAGAATTGCACCTTAAGATTAAAAATGTGGTGTAGACAACTTACCCTGATGCAAGTACCAATGGTTGATTCCACAATTCAAACCAGTGAGCTATAGGTCATATAGAGACAATTTTCATTGTTGTCCCACGACTTCCCTTCATAAAAGTTTTTACACTATCAGGGTATATAAGTTAAATCCCTACTATTATTACCAAGGGCAGAGTTAGAGTTGAGCTCATGGGTCCGATAGAAAAGAACTACAATCCCAAACTCATAAACTTCAAATCCTGGCTCAACCTCTAACTATAACTCCATTTTGATTTATCCATGAACTTACACTACTTCAGGAGTGCAAAATCTGGATTAATTTATTCTTATTATAACGGGTTTACTCCACATGTTTTGGGCAATGAATTATGATAGGTGACGACTGTATTGCAATAGGAGGAGGATCGTCCAACGTTAGTATTAGCGGCATAACATGTGGACCTGGCCATGGTATTAGGTAATTGTTGGGTTTTCAGATTCTAGTTCACAAGAATGTTATAAATTGCAAACAAGACCTTTGAAAATTTTTTAATGGCTGTAGTATTGGATCCTTGGGAGAAGGAGGATTTGAAGTAGTGGAAGATGTGAACGTAAGAAATTGCACGATGAAAGACACCTTAGCAGGAGTAAGGATTAAGACCTGGCAGGTAATGTGCACTTAATTTTTTATCAGCTTGGAAGTGCTCAGATAATATTCGTCATTTACACTTGACAAATACTGCAGTAACTGTTACAACCATAACTAGCTAACATATTTCGAATGGAACAGGGAGGCGAAGGGTATGCAAGGAGGATTGCTTTCGAAGGAATTGTATTTGTTGCAGTCAACAATCCCATCATCATCGACCAGTTTTACTGTCCCAGCCGAGTCAATTGCAAAACTGATGTGAGAAAACAACCAAAAGATATATAGACTGGAAACTAGGGACTGATTGTTGAATTTCATTACTAATTGGTTGTTTTGACTAATTTAATGCAGACATCTGCAGTTGCATTGAGCGACATAACATTCAGAGGAATACTAGGGACTTCCCTGATGGACGAGGTGATAAATCTGAGCTGCAGCATGACTGTTGGCTGCAAAAACATACTTCTTGATCGAGTGTATTTATCATCTGTTAACGGTAACCCTGTTCATGCCAAGTGCATCAATGCTCATGGAAGATACACTCATACTAGCCCTGCTGTGAAATGTCTGCTGCCGCCATAGTTTTAATTTCACAATGCTTTCTTGTTCAACAAAGACTAATAAAGGAGTAGGTAGGGAGAAGGAGAGACATGTACCATTGTTCTTAACTATTATAGGCTTATTATATAACTATTTCGTTATTTAGGAAATTATTATATTCAAGGCATATGGATACAGTTTCTGTAATGAATAACCACTCAGAAGTCAAAAGCCACTATATATTTTTTCTTCATCTTGAAACCGGTAACTTTCTTTTCTTGATTTGTTCATTAGCCACAATAATGTTTTTGTGCAAAACACTCTATTCAACTGTTACAATTTTACATCTATGTCCTTATTTTAGGCAATTATTAGATTCAAGTCTTATGGATGCATATTCTTTAATTGAATAACTAATCAGAGCCACAATTTTCCTTTTTAGATAGCTGGAATATCTCTGTACACAGAACATTCTATTCAAATTAGAGGGAAAAAGAAATCGTAGAGCATTTCATTAGAGTTGGAACTTATGTATAAACCACAAGTTACTAGTATAACAGATATAACTAATTGACAGAATAGGACATTGGATAAAAAGTATGAACTTCAATAGAGAAACAATTGATAAGATTGTTTGTTTTTTCTTTCTCTATTCTGTAACCAGTCATAACACCAGAACCATACAACAAGAAGAATCAAGTTTAGATGCTAAATATGCAGACAACAGCAAGTCATAATAAACTATATCAAATTATGTTCTATACAAAAGAGTATTCTACTTGCACGAGAGAAGAAGTACCAGTTTCTGTTTGGTGTATAATCACATGAACTGGAGCAGCCAAAGGGTGCTTAGAGTCTCCATTTATATCTCACATGATTCGGAGCGGCCAAAGAGTGCATAACGGTTATTGGCAACATTATCATATGCAAAGTCTCGAATGAATCTGCTAAAATGAGGAAAAAACTAAGCACCACAAGTGAAGCAAATTCCTACATCCACCATGATTGGGATAAGAACAGTGAAACTTACAGAGGCACAAACTGTAAGAAGAAGGCTAGCTGAGGGAAAGGCAAGTTAATGTACTCCATAATCTTCAGAACAGCTTCGGATTTCACATAAGACCTGAAATGAAAACAGTGATCACTAGTTACTCCTGCTATGATTGCTACAACATTAGTATCGTCTGGACAACATTTGAATTGAAGTTGAAAAGTAAATTGAAGCCGAAGTTGGAAAAAATGTGTACTCCAATATGTAAAAGTCAGGCTCCTTACTTCCCTCCTTCTCCCCCCATCCCCCTTTTTTTTCTGGGGAACATACAGCATACCTATCTTTTTCAACAAGCACAACACTTGAAATGTCATCAGGAGCTCTGCCAGATCTCCTCAACAGGTTCTTCCCTGCTTCACTTTGTAAAGCTTCATACCTAATTCTCCTGGATGTCAACAGAATGAGGAATTAAAGAAAAAACTGTCTTGAAGAAAACCAGAAAACCACAGAACAGAAATTGCTGATGACAACAGTAAGAAGTCTGACTGCTAAGAGTCAATAACATTTCCTTGATTAACTGAGCTAAGACAATTTCTGTTAGCAGAGTCATCTTCTGAAAAAAAAACTATGTGAGGCTCTCTTTGCATCAAATTTATATAAAAACTATGTGACATCTGGGTTTACAATATCAAATTTCCATTTATACAATATCTCTGACATAGAAGTAACCAGATATAATTAGTGAGAATGACTGCAGCAGACAAGCTCTACAGAGCTCTCAAGCATTTGCCAAGACAACAGAGTACAATAGAACAAATGTTAAGAGTGAGACATAAGGTCAATCTCTGAAAGCAGACCTAGTACATAACTCCGGTCACAACTTATAACTTGGTGAACCAGGTAGAAGATCTGAACAAGAATTATCAGACTCTGCTCTCCTGTCAAAGGTACTTAACAACTTTGTAACCTTTTACATATGGAAAGAAGTTTGAATCTATATCCTTTCAGCCAAACACAAAAGAAGAGGGAAAACACAAACCTTTTATTATCATTATCACGGACAAACTTTACTCCTCCATTACACAGGTTGCACACACCTAGAAAACATGCAAAACATTTCTCAGTTTCACGCATAATGTTATCTGAAACCACTAAAACAGTATGCTAGCTAGCCTTTTCAGATCAATTAATTTAAGTTCTAAACTTGTACTTCAAGATATTACAAAGAAAGTTATGTCACTCGGGAGGGTTGTGGTCAAAACTAAAAAAATTATTTCAACTAGACTACAACAGACCACATAAAAATGATGACAAAGTTATGCTTGAGAAACGCCTAATTCTCTTTTTGCTACAACTGAGGAAAAAGGCTGAACTTTTAGGCATTAAGGAAATTTAAGTTTTGCGATAATGAGCCACCAAAAACATCTAAATTCAATTTCTTCTTAATTATCAATAAATTCAGTTAATTTAAACCAAATACAGCATTCAAAAATCCTTCATTGTTTCAACAATTTCTAAAAATGTAAAATCTAATCCAATTAAATTAAATTAAAAAGAAAAATGACGCAAGGAATCAAAGGTTATACCGTCAAATAACATTATAGGGCGATTATCAAGCTTAAAGAAACTAGCAGTTTCCTCCACCCAATCCACTGCCGCTTGACGGCTGCTACTGCTGGTGTTCGGTGGCGTTGATAGAGTTGCCAACGGAGTGAATTGCCGGCGAAACCTAGCATGAAACGGCCGCGTTACAGTCAATCCCGCATAGTTAGCGGGTAAAGTGATCGCCATGTTCATTGGAACCAACTTCAAAAATCGGTTGTTCTATTGTTGATAAAAATGGTGGTTAAAAATTAAAATTAGCCCTTGCCTCTGCTATTAGTAGTCCCAGAGAAAACGTTCATATTATGGCCACGTGGAATTACCAATACCTCTAATCAATATTTGCCAAATTGTTTTTGAAAAGTATTACTTCTAAATATAAATATAAATATTAATTTTAAAATTACTTTTCAAAAATAATTTTTTTGGGGGGAAGTAGTACTCTTCTGAGAAATTTAACCAAACAATTCTATACTAATGAAATGACAATAATGAAAGTAATTGTATCCATTGTCAAATACTATAAATCAATTCTCTAAATACATAACGAATGCATTTTATAGGCTATATACAAAAGCGGTTTACCAAAAATGTTCAATCAAGTTGTTGTACAATTGTAGCTGAGAATTAGATTGGACTAATTATATTCTCAACTAAATTTTGTGTGACACAAATTTTTTTTAACTTAGTAAAATAAATAAAAGGGCATAATTAGACCAAACATATATGGCGACTTTGACCCACTTTAATGACATTTTAGATTAAATACACACATAAAATATGATTTTCGAATTTCATATCTAAACTATTAGATATGTAAATTTTCTATTTAAGCTATCACTAATTATTTTTAGAGAAACACATTAACTATATGAGTTTTTCATTTTTCTATCTCAACAATGATGATATTTCAAATAAAAAAAATGAACAACTAATAATTAGATAAGCAGAGTTCAAAAAATCGGAAAACTTGTTTTTGACCTTAAAACTTTTTGAAATTTAATCATTTCGACCGGATGCACCGAATTTATACACACCCGCCCGCCCAAGTGAGAGAAAAAAAAACCGTCTTTGAGGTTTGAGACACTGTTGAAGTTCTCTGGGGTTTTGAGACACTCAGATTTTGAAACAGTAGCAGCCTCTTGGAGTTGAGAGACAGTGAAGTTCCCAAAACCGCATAAATCAATCTTGTTTCATCTGTTTCTCCTGGACTGAGCTTTCATCCAGGAGATGACACCAAGTTTACCATTTTCTAATTCATATGTCTAAAACCCTTCTCTCCCGCATTAGACCCCTCCACAACCCAAAACCAAAACCCCCTTCTTCTTCTTCCAACTTCCCGTTAACACGCCGTATCAAAGAACTCGTTAACGAGGTCTGTCAAATCCTCCAAACCCAACAACAATGGGAAAACGCTGTCGAAATCCGTCTTTCACAGGAAGAAATTGTCCCTTCCGACATTGCACACCTTGTGTTCGACAAACTTAAGGATGCTCATGTGGGTCTCAAGTTCTTTGATTGGGTCTCTCAAAGACCCTATGGTTGTCCCCTTGATCGTTTTGCTTGTTCTTCTCTTTTGAAACTCTTGTCTAAGTTTAGAGTTTTCCCTGAAATTGAAAGTTTGTTGTCCAGCTTGACTACTTGTGAAGATAAGTTTCCTACTCTTGAAGCGTTGGATGCTGTAATTAAAGCTTATTCTGATTCTAATTTGGTTGATAAAGCTGTTGAATTGTATTATTTTGTATTGAGAACGTATGATTTGGTTCCACATGTAGTTACTGTGAATTCTTTACTTCATGGTCTTGTAAAACATGGTAAGATTAAAGCTGCTAGAAGACTTTATGATGAACTCGTTGAGAGAAGTAGCAGTGTTGAGGATACATTTTTGGATAATTTTAGCACTTGTATTATTGTGACAGGGTTGAGTAAAGAGGGGTATGTTGAAGAAGGCAGGAAATTGATTGAGGATAGGTGGGGTAAAGGTTGTGTACCAAATGTTGTTTTTTACAATATATTGATTGATGGCTACTGCAAGAAGGGTGACATTAGAAGTGCGTACAGACTTTTCAATGAGTTGAAATTGAAGAGCTTTTTAACCACAGTGGAGACTTATGGGGCACTGATAAATGGGTTTTGTAAAGATGGGAATTTTGAGAAAGTTGATATGCTTGTGCAGGAGATGGTTGAGAGGGGTGTGATTGTCAATGCCCGAGTGTATAACACTATCATTGATGCTAGGTGTAGGCATGGTTTTACTATGGAAGCAATAGACACTGTAAAGAAAATGGTTGAAGCTGGCACTAAGCCAGATATCGTGACATATAACATATTGGTCTCTTATTCATGCAAGGATGAGAAAATTCAGGAAGCTGAAAAGTTTCTAGAGCAGGTTAAGAATATGAGGTTGGTGCCGACCAAGTTTACTTATACTCCTCTGATACATGCCTACTGCAAATTTGGTGATTTTGAAAGGGCATTAAGTTTGCTTGCTGAGATGACAGAGTATGGTGAAAAGCCTGATGTGTCAACTTACGGAGCACTTGTCCATGGATTGGTGGTCTCTGGTGAAGTTGATGTTGCATTAGTCATTCGAGACACGATGATTGAAAGGGGAGTATCACCTGATGCTGGAATATATAATGTTTTGATGAGTGGGCTCTGCAAAAAATTGAAGCTTCCCGCTGCCAGGCATCTCCTTGATGAGATGCTTGGCCATGGTATATTACCTGATGTTTATGTTTATGCCACTTTAGTCGATGGATGTGTAAGAAATGGGGAATTTCAGGAAGCGAAGAAGCTCTTTGAGCAGACAATTGAGATGGGTATGGATCCTGGGCTTGTGGGGTACAATGCCATGATCAAAGGATACTGTAAGTTTGGATTGATGAAAGATGCAGTTGCTTGCATCAGTAGAATGAAAAAGTCAAAAATTTCTCCAGATGCCTTTACTTATTCAACTGTAATTGATGGGTATGTAAAGCAACATGATTTGCGCCAAGCATTAACGATACTCCCTCACATGGTAAAGCGCAATTGTATGCCAAATGTGGTAACATACACCTCTCTAATTTATGGCTTTTGTCAGAATGGAGATCTTGTGAGAGCTGAAAATTTGTTCAATGGAATGCAATCAAATGGTATGATGCCTAATGTGATAACTTATAGTATACTAATTGGTAGCTTTTGTAAAGTGGGAAAACTTGCAAAAGCAGCTTCTATTTTTGAACAAATGCTCATGCACAAGTGCTATCCAACTGATGTCACATTCAATTATTTGGTCAATGGCTTTTCCCATTGCACATCTACTATTTTCTCAAAAGAGAAAAATGATCCTCAGGATGAGATGAACTCTAAGTTTATGGCAACTTTTAAAAGAATGATATCAGATGGTTGGCACCCGAGAAATGCTGCATACAACTCCATTATCACCAGCCTCTGTTTGCATAAAATGCTCAAAACTGCATTGCAACTACGTGACAAGATGATTAGTAAAGGCTACTCTACAGATTCAGTTACCTTTGCTGCCTTATTGCATGGAATTTGCTTGGATGGAAAAGCCAAAGAATGGAAAAGTATTATTTCCTGCAGCTTAAGTGCGACAGAACTGTCTTTCGCTTTAAAGTATTCTTTGATATTTGACCAGTACATGAGTCATGGATTCGACTCTGAGGCTTCAGTGATTTTGCATACCTTGGGTAAAGACAATGTCTCATAATCAAGATGAAACTGATGTTAAGTTTTTGGTAAGCTTGGACTGGCAGAAGACTGAAGGTCTGCGTAATTGCTGTTTTATCGAGAGAGTATATGTATTATAGGAGTAGGCTGGATCTTCTATAAGATGGATGGAGCTCTCTGATTGTTGCTTTATCTGATCTTCTGTGCAGATTGATGGTTTTGCAGCCAACTGGCATCTAATTTTGGGTGCAGTTCTGCCACAGCTCATCTAGGTGTTCTGTCTTGGTGGCAGTGCAACTAAAACCAAGGTGGGAAAACTTGCCTTTTCCCTGTCATGATTTTTTGACTTTGTAACAAGAAATATAAAACTGCCATTGATAGCGATATATCTGTTTCATGCAGGTGATTTTCATTGGAAAATGAACATATGAGATGCTTAAAGGTTGACTCTCTTCTATTGTGACTGACGCAATGAACTCAATATTTCTTTGTAGTATGTATTCTATGTCTTTTGTTCGATGATTTTTTTTTGTTTTTTGCCTTCTGCTTCAATGCTGCTGTCAAATATGGAGCCCTTGTTTCTCATTACCGCTCGTCGATTTTACATTCAATGCTTGATTGAATGATTTAATGACTCTTTGCTGACGAAGAATGTTATGGTAGCTTGACCCCAAAAAACCCTGTAACTTATTGTGTACTTACATACAGGAGCAAGCTCTTTGGAGAAAGTGTCATCCCTGTAAGACGACGTGATTAAAGGATTCTATTTTCTCAAGGAGCATTTGCTTTGAGCTTCGAAAAATGTGCCCAAATCCATCTTTGGTTTGATGCATGGTGCAGGGATTTAGCACTGAAAGAAGAATTTCCAACTTAATCTTGACCAAAACTTATAAAGAGGCCACATTACACGAGTGGTTAAGGAGCTATGGAGGTCAGGTATTGTTATCTCTTGGTCAGGAGGCCCGTCCAAGATTCGGAATGTAATGAGATGTGCAATTTGATTCAAGTGCAATTCAGAGAGGACAGATTTGGGCAGGCTGAACCTCAAATATATTACAATCCCTTATCTAGGAGAGGTGTCTTCAGGCCCATATGTAAGCTGGTATGGTGGATTAAGGCAGCAAAAAAAGTAAGTTATACAAACTGTTGGTGGTATTTGCACAAAGGATCAGAGCCAGTTTTGATCACTTGTACTACATTGCAATTTCACTGTGGAGTTATGGTCTTACTCCATTTAAAGTTTTAAACCGTCATGGGATTTACCTAGTGGGAGAATGAGAAGGCTGGATGCTTGAAAGGAATTTGTGGAAATTAGAACTCGTTTGTCTGGTTATACTTGGCGCAAAAGGAGATCTATATTGGAAAAATGATTGATTTTTCTTTTTGGAGCTTTGCTTTTAACCCTTTACAATTTGTAAGGAAAACCCAAACTTGGTTTGGTATTGATGAAATTCTTTCAAGTGTGTATATCAATTTTTAGATGCCTAAAGTGTCTTCTTAGGTGAACTCATCACCATAGTGAACTTGTAAAGCCATTCTCATAGGGAACAAATTTCTGTATAGCACCAAACTTAAGCCATTAGTTCAACTCATATGACAAAGGAACCATGGTAGACAACCTCCACAATACCAAATTCCATCAACTGGAAAAAGAATTCTATTATTGTGGAGAAGAGGAAATAAAAGGAGGAAAAGGAGGCACATACAAGAGAGTAAAGGCCAAAGGAAAAGGCACCACTTGAAAGAAGAAATGAATGCAAATTATCAAATGCTACATGTGGTGTTCCATAAGCTACATACACTTTAAATACATAAATCAAATGTCTCTCTCCCACATAAATTTGTGAATGACGCCTACATCAAACACGACATCTTTTCGAATAAGTTGCTCCGGGTATATAACCAAAACATCAAGTAACAAATAAATTGAAGAGGAAAACATAAGTTCATAGATTGAATTCACAAAAACAGTCAGGTAAGGCAGATCCTCTACCCATTATAAAATCATCTCTATGAACCTTCCAAAGGGCTCCTGTTAGTTCCTTCCCTTTAAACCCCTGAGAGGTAAACAATGCAAAGGCTTTCCTGTTCAAGAAAATTGTCTTATACAACCCCGTGAAAGCTCGCATTGCTGCAACCATCTTATCCATGTTCCCAAAATAAGTAGCCATGTAAGAATCGCTGTTAATAGACACGTAATAATCCAGTGCAGCTTTTGTATTCCCATGCATGGTTGTGAAGTCCTCTCCGCTAAGAAGACTAGATTTGGTAACAACATTGGTATACACAGATGTAAGTCCCTCAAGTTCCATCAGGCCATCACCAGCTGCCAAATAAATTGTCGTATTGGTGGGTATGGCTAAAGCTTTAAGTATGAATGCAGTTTCATTGGGGGTAAGTGGACACTTTCCACGGTTTCTCCAAATACGAGCTGTTTCCCCAGTCCAAGGTTTCCTGTCAACCCGTGCAGCTTCTATGGCTTTTGCAGAAGCAAGAGAAATACCAGAGTACTCGCATTGACTATAAGCTACCATGTCAGGTTCAAACCGAAGGTGAAGCGATAAGAAGGGCTTTGGTATAGCTTGTAGAAGCTCAAGCGCTTTCTTCTCCAATGTGTTTGTAAGGCGCAACGCACTATAACAAGCCTGGCAAAGTGCAGCTTTTGCATAAAGAGGGTACCTAAGATGAGTAAATATGGTTATAAGGATGAATAAAAAACTTAATCCTTTTAAAGCCGCCTGTAGAAATGATTGGTTAAGAGTTCTCAGCTTAATTCAAAATACAAAATATATGTACCTATCCCTTCTTTGACTCATTGCAGGGGTGATTGAGATATATCCATGCTTCAGTAGGGAAGGAAGAACACTCTCAACATAGTCAAATTGGCCTTTGCGTTTGCTGCAATCAACTCTAACAGGATCTTTTGATGCAATCTCAATTGGAAGCTCTTTCACCACATTAACAAATCCCTTCATTTGTTGGATGAAGAAGTCTACATCAAATACATCTTCAAAACCACTGAAATATAAGGCAAAAATTCATTCATAGGCATGAAAAGAAAGAACAGGCAACCATTATAAAGAAAACCTCCAACAAAATCATAAGACAGATCTTGACCGTGTAAAACTACAGAGTTGTCTGCTAATTAGGCGTAGCAATGAATGAATGACTAAAGAAGTTATAAAGTACCTAAAACCTACAAGATTATGTAGGTTAGAAAAGGAAGATGAAACAAATTATAAGTCATAACAAAAGCATACCTCGACTCATTCCAGTATGCAGCTACTTCAAACTTTGGCAAAACAAGAGTAGCATTCAGCAAACGAGCTATTCCAACACCATCACACAACTGCAGATCACAAATGACAAGAAACAAATTGAGTGACTTTTCTCATCATAAATATCAATAGGTAGGATATTCAATGTAGGTGCAGCGAATAGCAGTACTCACATCTCTCCTCATCTGATTGAGCCCACCATAGCAATCCACTCGAATATACCCATTAGCCTGAGCAGGAAGAGCTGCAGCATTTCAACAACAAAACCATGTCTGCATTGGAGGCCAGTCAAATGCTCGACTTAGAAAACTTTACAACCCCCCAGAGCAGAAGGTTATATGCACAACTAGAGCTTATATCCTAATTCTTGTTTTACCCACCCCCTAACAATTCCAAGTAGCCATTACCCAAAATAAACTATCCTCGGTATAAATCAGCTCAATCTCCATCAATAGACCACCAGAAATACCAATGGAGCAATATAGTAATGACTGTACAATTATTCAAATCAGCACCAAGTATTGCCAATGTGATTTAACGTTATAGTAGCTATCTAGTTGGTTAAAATTATGCAGATATAAGTTATGCAGGTATTAGCTCTTCCATCTTCTACCCCGCATAACACAATACACCAATTTCCTCATAACTTATACTCTCATGTATTAGTTATCTGGGCTTCCTAAATTACAAACCAAAACACCATATTATTTTATACATGAACAACGTACTTCCTAACTAGCAAACAAACATTGTATAACTTATACATAAATTAATACACAAATAAGTTACGTCTTTACTAGATAAGGGTTCTATTGTGAGGGGTTGGGATGGATGGAGTATCAGCCAAAAACTAACCATTAGTTCGAGGTTGGAGCCACCAATTGCAAGGTCGCCACTCAGCTAATCTTCGTATGCTCCATATCTCGGGTCTTACACGCCTGCAATTACACTCAAATAGCAACATAAGAGAGAAATGCGTTGAAAGGGTAATAGTAAGAGGTCAAAACTTTAAAACGAAAATCAAAAACAATTAAATACAGAACAAAGATTTGGATCTTGTAGTTTACTCCACGAGGGAAGAAACAAAAAATAACGGCATGTCCGTAGATATTAACACGGAAATCAAAGGCAATTAACAAACATAGGTTAAAAAAAGGGGAAAAGAAGCAAAACTTACCGTGAAGAATTGAAGGTAACAGAAGGGTCGGAGAAGAAAGGAAAAGGTGTGAAGAAGAAGAGAAGGAGAAAGAGAGAGAAGGTCAATAGAGTAACGCCAAAAAGGGGCTTTCGCACAGTTGAAGCGATCATTCTATAGAATAATAATGCACCCAATGGGTCTCGTCTCTGTTAAGTTTATCAGCAGTAGAGAAATGGACAATATGAAGAAAGAAGGAAGAAGAAGAAGATACGGAGGAAATGAAGTAGATCTCTTCCTTCAAAATGTGATACAAAGGGCTTACAGTTGTAGATCTACCTTCCCCTTTTCCTTTTCCCCTCTTTTTCTTCTCACCGACTCATCCATCAATTTGTGCTCTTTCTTTTCTCTTTTTTGAAGTGTCAATTACGACTAGGGGTGGGTGTTCGGTTCTTCGATTCGGTTTAATCAAATTTTCGATTCGATTCTTCGGTATTCGGTTTTTAAAAAGTGTGCATCATATTTTAAACCAAACGAGATTGGTTCGGTTTGGTTTTTTCTACTTCGATTCGATTTAGTTCGGTGTTTTTAAATCAGTTTTTCGGTGTCAACAAAAATAAAGAGAGAATATGATAAAGTAACAATTGTTATTCAATTCACACTTCAAACTTCAAAATAACAACTAACCATCTAACAATAGAAGGTAAGAGCATCAATTTGTTGTTCTCACTTCAAAGTAACAACATAAAATCATAAAATCATAAAGTAGAAAGTAGAAACACCAAGTTGCTGCTCAAACTTGAATTAAATTGAGTTTTGTTTAGTTTAGACTTTAGGTCTTTAGGGTTTACTATTTTGTTATTAAGATTTTTGCTATTTAAGTTTAGGATCTAAATATAAAAATTGAAATGGGCCAAGTAAAGTTTAAAATTAAGTAATATAATAAAATTTCGGTTCTTCGGTGCACCGTAGTTTCGAGAACCTTACACCGAACTCCAAACCGAAGAATCGAAGTTCCGAAAAAAAAACCAACACCGAACCGAAACGCCGAAGAACCGAATTTTTTCGGTTCGGTTCGGTTTTTCGATATTTATGCCCACCTTTAATTACGACCGTAGTAATTTCTGCTTCCACCAACCAAGGTTGCATTCAAGTCTGGCTCCAATATGCAAATCGAACGCTAATTAAAAAAATCTGCTTCCACAAAAATGAAAAGAATTACGACCTCTACGTTTGATAATTTGCTTTCCCAATTTAATTTACTATAGTAGGTGTCATTTTTTTTCCAACCAAAAAAAAAACAGGTGGAATTTAAAATTTTTAGTTTCGAGCACATGTTACAAGAACAATAATTGAGCAAAAGCTGAATTCACGTGAAAATTTGCTCACTAGTCATATATGTCTACTTGTTTAATTTTCAACTAAGGTCAAATTAAAGAACATGTTTCTATATTATGATTGTGCCTATTCAAAAACTTTTAACTCCTCGTCCAGCGTCAATTTATAATCAGGAATTAGAAAAAATCAAATTTGAGTAAAACAAGCTCTTCAAGAAATTATGATAGGTTTTGTAATGACAACAATCATAACATAACTTAGGTGGCCTCTCCAAAAAAGGAGGCTAGCCAATGAGCATTCAATCCTCAAGAGATAATGCGGAGCCATCTATCAGTTCCCTACCACGTGTAGTAGCAAACATCAAATTCAACCTGAAGCTTCCATAAAAATGACATATTCTTCAGTACCCTGCTTCTGAATGGCTTCCCAGGTTTCTCAAAACTATTGTTGGAAACACAACTATGGTGAAAACTGGAAGAAGATGATCTACCATCCTACCTTCTGTATGCTTTTTCCATTTTTAACCTTGTATCACCTGTTAGCAGCAGTTTCAGATTGGCAACATGGTGAGTAACTAACTGTATAAACTAGCTTTTTAAGGAACACTCAACATCATACAAGTATCTTCGTATATATCAGAACCAAGAAGGTTAACTGTTTATCACTTCAAAATGACTAACATAGATATATCTTCCACATGCATAAAGGCGTTCAGGGGGGAAAAAATCAACATTATGTGTGATAAAGATAATTTATAGGAATCGAAAAGTTACTTCGCGTCATGAAAAAATTACAGAATATTGGCTTCGTAGTTGACACCTAACCAAAGAGCTAACTAATATCCCACCTTTTTAGGGCTAGGTAGGATGATGGGGAGAAATTAAGAGATACCGGTAGAAAAATGCAAGCAGAATCAGTGAGTAGAAAATTTTTGAAGTTGAGATAATATTTTCATCATCACCTTACCTAGAGAACATGCTCCACAGTCCAATCTAGTGGATTGATCTATCCAACTTAGGTTTCCAAGTGCCAACCTTTACGATTCCTGTGGTCATTTCCAAGGAAAACAACTACTCGACGTCACACCTAGAAGGATCATATGACACAGTTCCGAGTCACATCACCAACTATGTTGGATGTAGTACATTCACAAAGTAGAAATAAGGATAATGGTTACATGTAGAACCCATAACTAAACATATATGGCAGAAACAACAAATCGACAACTTATCCATCTGCATGGCATTTCCAGAAAATGTCTCGCAATTAAATATTTAATCCAGATGTTCCCATTCAAACACAAAAGAATTATGTCCTTAATATGCTCTGGTACAGCCGGAGATTCTTGTATGCCTTAACTAATGCATTCCAGCAGTAATTACCACGTATAACGCATCACTCAACTAGCAAGCAAACCTTGCGACCTTTGTTAACCTTTTTTTCCCTTTCTAATAAAACCTCCTTGTTTACTCTTGAAAGTTGATGGCCCTTCAGCTTGTCCTTTAAGGATGCGAAGAATCCAACACAAAATGTGGACTCCAAGAGATAACTACATGCCTTTCGTTCATTAACCTTGCAAGCCAATTACACCACATCCAAATCTTTACAAGTTAGGATGTCATTTACACATATTGAATGGTAAAGAGCAACTGGACCCACAGGAAAGCCAGACCATAAAAATTAATCTAGGCTTTGCTACGGAAATATACAGATCAAGAAACTCACTTGGACCAAATTGTCACCACTCTTTGACTATAATTTTCCATCACAAGATAATAGGTCGGACCAAGGTTTTGCCTCTGTGGCTATAATTTGTTATCTGAGCCAGAAGTTTCCACTGGGTATAGCCAAGTCAGTACCACTCACTGCTATCAGAAAACAAGGAAATGCAGCATGTACTTGCGAATAAACGACATGCGACAAGAGTAGGTATCACCTTGACCAGGGAATTGAGATGATTCTAGATCATTTCACTCAAAATTTTCATCCGAGTATTCTTCATCATGTTTCAATTTCATACAGGCCTTGTTACCTCTCATTACGCTTGCCAGTTCTTGAATTAAACTAGATGTGCTCCTTTCCATCTTATCTGCAAGTATCTCAGTCTGCTCTGCAAATCCATGACCTATTAGTCTATTTCTCATTTTTTCACACGTCGCTGTATATGGAGGAATGCCTTCATCTATCATCATTTCAAAATATTTACATGCTTCCTCAAGTTTGCCTTTCTTCTGACAGAAACCATGTACCATGACAGCATATGTCGAGACTGAAGGATAAAAGTTCCTGTCTTCCATGCTCTCCCAAACTTTCTCAACTCTATCAAACCTTCCCACCCTAATAAGCATCTTAAGCAACATATTATATGTATGTTTATCTGGTAGGCAGTTGTTTCGTTCCATTCTTGAAACCAGCCTATGTGCCAAGTTAACTTCATTGTGATCACAATGAGAAGCTAGGATTGTATTGTAACTCCAACAATCAGGTCTTACCCCTTCACTAATCATCTCATCTATCAGTTGGTAAGCCTCGTCAACCTTCTTGGTCTTACAAAGCTTTTTGATGATACAATTATATGTAAATACATTAGGCACAAGTTTGTACCTTCTCATCTGGTCAAGGACCCTGAAAACTGAATGAATATCATTCGCCGCGCAATAACCATGAATGAAAATTGAATAACTAAAAGCATCAGGTATCAGTCCAATGGACCTCATCTTCATGAAGAAGTTCAAGGCATCATCCATCTTACCAGCCTTGCATAGTGAGTCCAAAATACTATTATAAGCAAGCAAATCAACTGAACAACCTCTTTCAAGCATTTCATCAAACAGCTTTTGTGCTTCAGCAACTTCCCCTAAATCTCCCCATCCCCTTATCAGAATGCTGTAAGTTTTCACACTCGGCATGAAATCATCCTTCACTTTATCGAAGAACTCCTGCGCTTGCTTGGCATGCTTTCTTTTACACAGCACCAGCAAAAGCTTGTCGAGATCAGCTAAACATGGTTTAATCCCAAAATCTACCATTTTATTAAAAGCCCTAATTGCATCAGCTGGCAAACCAGCTCTACTATAAGCCCTGAAAACAAGCAAGAAAATTTCGGGAGTAATTTCACAAGATCTATTCGTTCTCATCTCAACAAGGAAATCCCATATCAAAGGGAACTGTTTACTACTTCCTAATATATCAACAAGAATGTGAAAGCTTTCTCGACTATGGCAAAAACCTGATAACTTTTGTGCCCATATGAAGAACCTGTGCGCAGAGAATTCAAGATTTTTGCAACGTTTGAGGACTTGTTCAACTACATCGGTTGAAATACTGCCGGAAAATGGATTGAGTGCGGACTCAATGTCGTGGTGAGGGCTTCTGTAGTCACTAAGAATTCGAGAAATCTCATTCACCAGGTCTGGATTTTTTTCAGGTTCCTTTTTTGTTTCTGCATCAGTAAAAGAGGACATGAACAGACAGCCGCGAAAGGCATTGCAGGTGGGAAGATAAGAAGAAAATGAAGAAGAAAGACAATACTGAGTGCTTTTGAGTGGAGAAAGATAGCAATGGAAGAGTGTTCTGGAGAAATAATGTACACTTCTGTAGCGAAGAAATGTCCTAATCGCCATTTTTTTTTCTCGAGAAAGTTCAAATATGTATGTTCACCTAAATTCATTCCATTTTTCAAATCAAACCAGATAGATTCAAAAGAGTATGCGCCAATTTAGTCCACCGGTATCCAGTGTTCAGCAACATGTTTTCTTGGTTTCATTCATGAGTGATGATCCATTTCATTGGGCTCTTTAGGCCCAAAATATGTCATTGGGGCTCAAGTCCATAAGAAAAGCCCGTAAACAATAACAAACTTTTTTGAAAAAATTGTATATAATAGCAAACTATTAATTCAAATTAAATGTTATAACCATAATTTGATTTAATTGTACCCCATAGAAAACTGTTGCTATTTCGCCTCTCTCCCTGGTGAATCTCGCTCGCCACTCTCGTTCTCCCTGG